AGAATTATACAGGCCAACACAGATGTCACTTTGAAAAATACTAAGTGCATCAATGGTTGAGGTTTTATTACGAAAACCGAATTGGAAGTTTGGGAGGAGTCGGTTTTCAGTTAAGTGGAGCTTAAGTTGACTGGCAACAAAGGTTTCGTAGAGCTTGCTTAGAGAGCTAAGTAAAGAGATGGGACGGTAGCTAGAGGGGAGAGTGCGTGGCTTACCGCTTTTGTGAATAGGTATGACAATAGCTCTCTTCCATGGCCGGGGAAAGTGGCCAATATTATAAGCGTGGTTAAAGATTGTTGCACAAGTGCAAAAGAAGAGAGGAGAGGGATTTCGCATAGCGTGATTAGAAATACCATCCAGTCCAGAAGATTTTTTTGGTCTTTTGGACTTGAGGATGGTGAAGAGACCTGAAGGAGTGATGAAACCATTTGGATCAAGAGTATTGGCACAGTTAGTAGGGTAGCTAGTGCTAAAATTGGTAATGCTTTGCCCGAAGTTACCGTAAAGGTCTTGGACAAAGTTGGAGACGGAGGTATTGAAGTTGGGGGTTCCATCATCGATAGAGACTCTATGGTATAGCTCGAAGGCTTCACCAAAAATACTGGCCTTAGTAGGATCATCGGAGAAACTTCTGTTGTGGACAGTGATGTCAGGAGTGACTTTTTTAATGCCACAGATATGTCTGACTCTTTTGAAAACGTCAGAGTCGCACTTGACAGTGCGGACGAAGGCATTGAAGTGATTGCTTCTAGCCAACTTGATCCTTTGGGTGAGGATACTGTCGAAAGTAGATAATATAGCTCGAGTGAGCTGAAGGTTGGGGGAGTTGGCTTGAGCTAGGCGATATGCTCTGCGACGGAGAACTTTACGGTGACGAATTAGATTGACAGTGAGAGGATCAAGGGGAACCTGGTGGCACTTTTTAAGGAGGGTTTGTGGAACATGGGCTTGAATAGCGGTTGTGAGAAAACTCTCAAGTTGAGAAGTGACGAAATCGATTTCAGTAGGGGATAAGTTCCTGTGAACAGGTAGGTCAAGGGAAGAAATCAATTGGTCAAGGGTAGAGTTAAAGTCATCCCAACATGTGGAAGAGAAATTTAGGTAAGTGCGTGGAGCAAGAGGAAGGGCTCTACAGCCGGTGAGAGGCAACACAACAGCCTAATGGTAAGCGACGCCATCTATGACTGAGGTGTCACCGAGCAGGTCGGAGAGTAGGTTATCGGTGAAGAAGAAATCGATGGTCGAGTTAAGGCGTGTTGGCTCACTAGGTGCTACAAGATTGAGATCTAAATTAATACAGTTAATGATGTACCAGTCATATAGCCTAGTACCATTACTGCAATTAGTGGAGTTATTCCAGAAGCTGTGCTTGCTATTGAAGTCACCTCCAATAACAAACGGGTTAGGAGAAAGAGATATCAGCTTCCTGAGATCGTTGGGGTCAATGGAGCGAGAAATGGAGTGTGCGTGATAGACGCAAAAGATGTCAAGATTAAAGTGGTTTTGGAGGAGAAGAGTGATGCCACAGGCCTCGAAAGAGGAGAGTTGAGGAATGCAGAGCTCGGAAAAAGCGAATGTGTCCCTAAGTAGAATTGCAACACCCCCACCAGGACCCAACCTATCCATCCGGACGACACTGTAACCAGAGAAGCTGAGAGTGAAACCAGGATTGATTCTAGTTTCAACTGCCAGGAGAATATCAGGATTTCTACGCTTTAGGAAGTTTAGGAAGACTTCACGTTTGAGCGCCGAGCGAAGTGAGTTAACGTTAATTAGAATAATCTTAAGATTATTCATACAAAACGAACTCGAAAACTTTTCGCGTGAGGAAGGCCTTACGATCCTCATGCGAGGTAAGAGTAGAAAATTGTTGCTTGATGCTCAAAGCAAACGAAAGCATAGATTCAATATCAGATATACCAATGGTGGCGGGGATGCCTGGGGATTTGGACGAGATATTAGATGTGGGAGGAGGATGGGATTTATTATGGATTGGCGGCTGGACAACCGTCGCAGCAGTCGTAGATTTGCGCGGGGGAGCGTGGAAGCCCGCAGCCATAGAGGCAAAGGAGGTCTAACAAAATTGGTTGCGAGACGGTTAGGGGTTTTAGTCGTTGAGGCTTTGGTTTTGGCTTCACGAGAAGCACGGAGCTCCTTACATTTGGAGCACCTGTAGTTGGCTGGGTGGCCAATTTGACCACAGTTGCAACATTTAGGAAAAGTTTCAGAGATTTATTGCTTATTCACTGGGTCGAAAGCTTTAGGTGGGAGGGTGCAAGCACCCTTGGAATGCGGACCACCGCAACGGACACAACGGGAGGGGAAGTTGGAGTATTTGGCGGTATCCTTACATTTAGTTAGGATACAAACGGTTTTGCCATTTACGGCTTTAAACTCGTAAGTTGAGTTGGGCAGAGCAGCTTTTCTACTGCTACGAAGTTGCTTTATGTTGGCATCACGTACAGTGAGGGCGGAGGAAACAATTATTGAGTTAGAAGTTTGAATTAATTTTTTGTTTTTCAACGAGCACAAGGTAGTCGAGCCAGTTAAAGTCAAAAAATTGTTGGATTATGAGTTCGAGTTAGATTTTTAATATCCCAACACACATAAAGTTTTGTATAAATTTTTTGCAAAAAACCATTTCCGCATGTTAGGGACACGACCGACTAGTTCGAAGGCGAAAATCTGCAAAATTTTTTATGACAATGTATAGCACTCTCTCTTGTAAATTCATTGCAAGGTGCATTAAATGCAAGAATGCTGTACAAAAACTGCAAGAATGCAAGAACACTTCTAATGCAAAATGAATTAGCTGTTTTTGCAGCCGTATCACATTGATCAAAGAAAAATAAGAGTGTTATACTCTATACCGCGAACAAGTGAAACACAAAATTTTTTAGATGTTTTAATATTTAATTATAATGTTTATATAAGAATTAATATTTGTATAACTTAATTTAGTTATTGTTCATTAAATGTTAGACTACTATTATAATACAGCTTCAATCACGCGAGCACGGAAACACGACCAATCTCCGACGTTAACTTCTCACAACTACCGACTCTGCTTCTTTTCTGCTTTGTTCCTTTGCTAAACGCAGAGTTGCCAAGCCTAAGAATTACTGCCTACATATGTATATATATATATATATTTTTTTTTTTACAGCTGATTCTGGTGATCATAGTCACTCTTGAGAGTTGTAAGTTTATTTCCTAAGGAACTATGGAAGATAGGAGATATTGTAGGCGAAATTATGAAGATATCAATGTATGACTCACAAGAGGATACACGGGAGGGTTCACTAGAGGGAATTAGCAACATGCACACCCTATAAAACCATTTTCTAAGATTGTTACCACTTGTATTGCAGACCATTCCGCCCCAGCTCCTATGTTTGGCGTAAAGATCTCCTGCTAACACTACATGCTCGGTGCTCAGACTGTTATAAAAAAGGTCCAGGTCGCCCTCTGTTACTGTGATATTAGGTTTTGCGTATAACACGACGAAGCTAATCAGTTCTTCACAGGTTCTTGGGTAGTGCATGGTTTGTATCATTTTTAGGATTTGTAAATGTGCTCTTAAAATACTCAGCGATAACAGTTGCTTTTTCTTGGTTTGTGCGCACCCAAGTGTTATCTTCTTTTTTAAGCGGTGCGCAATGTAGTATTGGCACCATTACTACCCTTTGTCGCTTTCCATAAGGAGTAATTTGTAACCTTTGTAGCACTCAATCTTGAGATAAAATTTGATACATTTTTTTGTCTTTCAGCCTCTAATAAATATTTCAGCTCTTTTGTTAATTTATTCAACTTTGTCTTTATTTGTGGAGCTCTAGATACTTGTCAGATTTTTCTTAACTTTCTTTTTTGTTCTATTTTATGTTTGATGTGATTCGGGACAGGTGTTACATTTTTGGTTTTTGTTATTGGTGTAGTTGCAGATGCTGCAGATAAAAGTAGAAAATTGAAATTGATTATTGCATTACTTATTTCCTCTTC